GCAACAGTAAGGAATATTAACCTTTATCGTGATAAGAGATTGATAAAAATCCGCCAATGTCCGTAGAAGCGAAGAATAAACAGAAGAAGAAGCCGATAACCTTCGAAGAGGGGAGCAGCTCCACGCCTTTTTGCCCGGATTTTGGACCCAGATTATATATGTTAAGAAATGGGAGTGGTTTACATGAAGAATTCAAGTATCGGAAACACACCGGATATGATACAAGCATTATAACAAGATTAAACAGAATGATTGACATGGGAAATTAAGGGTTTAAACATAAAAATGTAAATTGGTTAGATAACAACAAAAGAGTGTGGGGAACAATTTTAAGGAATGTAAATATGTTAAGAGTGATTCATAGTATCATTAGCATTAATTTACAGTGTGAATGAATTTATTTGAGGTTTCGTTTACGACAGTTTGAGGGATAAGTGGTGCAAGCTTGATGTCCGTCGATAATTGTTATATAATTAAACCATTCAGTGAACTACCCAGTAGAGCCTGTCATTCCACCTTCCTCTCCGTATTTATTTCTTTCAGTCCTTAACAAATGGTCTTGCAAAAGTAGAAAAGCTTTAGGAGCACTAGTTCACTAGTTGTTAGAGGGACAAAAAGCTATTAGACATAGGCAAATATTTTTCTTGTGGTACTAAATGTATACCCTATATATTGTTTGTTTGTTAAGATAACGTTGAATCGATATTTTCATCGAAACATGGATGAATGAAATATATATATGTCGATCGATTTGAAATTGCAGATCTGAAAGGGAAAATAATAACTGGCTCAAATTTATGGCTATATCGGCAATTCGGCGTTTCGCTAGTAGTGCAAACATTGTGTCGGAAACACAAAAAGTCGTCATGGTGAGTCCTGATTTTTTTGCATTCACTGCTTATTCCCACCTATATTCGCATCGTTTAGTAAGTGTTCTTGTTTATCAGTTACAGTTAACACAGTATGACGAATGGCATTAAATGGCTTTATAGAATGCAATAGTGGGATTCTTGTAGCTTTACTTTTTACTTCGCTATAATTTTGGTTGCTAATACTTAGGCGGAATTGGTGAACGGTTAATAAACCATAAATGGTAGAATTCTGTACTGGCAACATGCTCAAATATAGCGATGCTCAAATTTAGATCTTAAATGAACAGCAAAGAAAGCAACTGTTGCAACCTCTAATCGACAAAGGATGGAAAATGGTTGAAAGTCGAGATGCCATTCGGAAGGATATACAGTTCACGAATTTTAGTGAAGTAAACATTTCCACTCTCTTTCCTCTCTTCTCTCTTCATCTTCAGGAAAGTCCAATTTATTATTTAAATTCTTTAACCTTTTCCAGGCATTTGGTTTTATGACACGTGTAGCAATGTATGCGGAAAAAGTGAATCATCATCCAGAATGGTTCAATGCATATAATAAGGTTAGATTTTCTTCGCTTGGGATGATTGAAACTAATGGCTTTGTAAATACAACAGAACTGTTCAGGATAAGAAAAAAAATTGTTCAGAATATAAGAAAGCCGAAATACAAGAAGGAAGTAGTTTAAAATAAAAGAAGGTCAGATGAGCAAGTTCCAGATTGAAGTGACTTTAAGCAGCCATGATGTGAATGGCTTGTCGGAAAAAGATATCAAACTGGCCAATTATATCGAAAAACTATCCAATTAGTGGAAGCCAAGAATTCAGTATTATGGAACATTTCTGAATATATTGTATCATTTGTAATGTGAAAATCTAGTCTATTTACATTTTATATGTTGACTAATTTGTAATATGAAAAATCTTATATGTTGACCATATTACAAATAAATTTCAGATTGCGATTTTGCTTTTATTTATGCAAATGACAATAGTGTACGAAAATTTTTAGAATTTTTTCGGTTAAAGCATAAGCTGAAACATTAGCATGCTTCCTACTTTTTGTTAAGAAAATTATATCTATAAATATCAAATACGTTTGGAAATCGGAGTGATGAAAGTTATCTTAAATGCATGATGCCTCGTCCACCATCAATTCTAAGTAGATCACCAGTAATAAATGACGACTCATCGCTTGCCAAGAAATAAATAGCTCTAGCAACATCCATAGCTTTTCCAGTTTTACCGAGTGCGGCAAATTTAGCTGTTCGATCAATAAACTGGAATAGTTATTCAAAAAATAATCCAGAAACTCAACACGAATTATAGACCTGATTCAGAAAGAATTTATGTTTAAAGAATTCCCGGTACATATTTTCTGCCCTATATGTATTTTTTTTATAGCCCTATATATTCATTTTTGATGACAGAACATGTACAGAAGTACACGTATTGGCGTTAAATTACCTGGCTATGAAGAAAATCATTTCACAAAAATTTACCTCATGGTAATCCTTGTCATTCATGCCGGATCTTTTGTGTATATCAGTGGTGATCACACCGGGACTAGAATTAAGAAGTTGTGGTATTATTTTCTAAAAAGATTCGACCGAAAAAAAATTGAAATCAGAAACACAGATCTGGTTTTTCGAAAATTTACTTTACAGAATTGACCCTGACTCCTTCAGGACCCAACTCAAGAGCTAGACATTTCGTGAACTGATCCAATCCTGCTTTCGATATACAATAGAATGTTACACCACCGAACTGAAAGTTGAAATTCCTTTAAACTAAATCCACTCATTTATAAAGGAAAGGATACATCACTTGGTGCATCAGCTTTTAATCTAAAATGAATTTGATTTTTGATGGGATCCAATTTTACTGAGTGCTATAATAAGTAAATGAATAAATACAAGTATAACTTGACTCCACTTTAAGTAACGTCACCTAAATATAATTCCAATTTAAATAACGTCAGCTGAATATAATTTAAGTCTTAGAACTTAATTTTTTTGAATGCTTGATGAAGAACATAAAAAGACTAACAGAACATGGACCATTAATACTGCTTACGTTCACGATTGAACCTTTCGTTTTGATAAGATAAGGTATGACTTTCCGCGTCAATTGAACAATACTTCGAAGATTTATATCCATTAGATAGTCATAATCTTCCATAGAACAGTCCATAACTTTTCCTAGATGGTGCAGCTTTTTTCACAAATGTATTAGAATTTCTCTCCACATAGCCAAAATCACCAAGCTGTCGCGTTCACTCACTTAGGGCATCCGGTGTTACACAACTGGCCATTTTCAAAGAGATCTTACAATATTACTTTTTAGACTACTTTCTCAATCTATTCATTTAAAGATATCGTTACTTCTATATTAAAAATTATACCGTTAACCAGAACTCCTGCAGCATTAATCAACGAGTCAG